GGCAACCTCCACCTCCTGGGCTCAAGTGATTCTCCTGCCTCCCGAGTAGCTGGGACTACAGGTGCATGCTACCATGCCCAGCTCATTTTTGTATTTTTAGTAGAGACAGGGTTTCACCATGTTGGCCAGGATAGTCTCAATCTCTTAACCTTGTGATCTGCCCACCTTGGCGTCCCAAAGCGCTGGCATTACAGGCATGTACCACCGCACCTGGCCAAAAGGTCTCAATTTTAAACAATCACTGAAGTCAGTGCTTTATTATATAAGGCATTTAAATGTTACACAGAGTTTTTCAAGATTTTTAAATATCTCATGTACATTTTATTATCACTAAGAAAATGACAGAGCATCAAAAGTTATTTGTCTAGGTCTGCATTCCTCTAGCAAGGTGACAGGCCTGTGGTCTAATTGAGAGAACAATAATGAAATTCATCAATACAGATCAGGTTTTAACGTGACTAAACAAATTAAGCATCAATGCGTATTCACTTTGCTGAAAGAGATGCACTAAATATGTATTTCATATATCCTAAATTTATAATATTTGAAGGTGTACAGCCTATCAGTCTTAGTAATGAAATGGTAGGGTTCAGATCCTAATTTAAAAAGGGCAGCAGACCCATGCAGCTAGGGAAAACTTGCAGCTGTCACACATTTGCAGGACAAGATGTAATGGTGACTTACAGTCACTTCCACCCCTGACCTGTGGCCTCCAATTTTGATTTTGGCAGTAGACAGCATGGAAATCGTTGAGGCCAGCACAAGGTAGAGTCACTTTTTGACCTGAATTATACCATTTGCATTTCAGTATCCTCAACTGCTTTGAAAAAATATTTCAAACTCCTCATTTGGATGCCATTTTGGATATCCAGATGCAAATACCAAGATTATGGTTTTTTGTTTGTTTGGGCAAAATAAAATAAGGATGTACTTTTTCCTTTTGAAGACTTAGGCAATAAAAGGGTAAAATAAGCTCAAAATGTGTTATAAAATTTTATTATTAATAATGCTATGAATGTTATTTTAATTATGGAAAGATTATTTAATGACAATACAAATTTAGAAATGTAGGCAATGTCACCATGTCTAAAGATGAAAGATAATCTCTATCCAATACGAGAATGCAGTTTTCTGGTATAATCACTGTGGTTTTACTATGGATAATAGTAATATTATTATCAGTCATATAGTGCCACTTATTACATGCTAATCACATTATGGAGTATCTAATGTATCTGCAACAAGCTCTAAACTCAGGTATTGTAGCCTTCATCTTAAGGCGAGAAAATTAAAGATAATGAAAGCTTCCTAATTTGCAATATTAGATATAAGATCATTATATCTGTCAGACTCATTCCAGACACTCCTGGCTCTTTTTACTAATGATGCTACCTTCCTCCCATGAATCTATTTCAATTAATGCAGTGGCAAACCTTTTGTACATTAGTTTCTCACTCCTCTGGTGGATAGGTTCATTTATAATAAACCAAATAAGTCAATTAACTACAATACTCAGTAGGAGACTGCTATGCATACAATCTGTTTACTAAAAATGAGACAAAGAAAAATGATTATCACATCAAACATATTTCCAGAGATTCATGGTTGTTTAAACTCTCCTATTCCAAACAGTAAAGAAAAGATCTCATAAGACAGAGGTTATATATACTAGATGGAAATGGAAAGAAATTGTTTTTATTATATATATGTAAATATATATTGAAATTATCTAGCTATCAATCATCTATATTTTTTTCAAAGTATCAAGAAATGAAAGCACATATGGAATTGACCATTTTGTTAATCAGTGAGGCAGCAAGTAATGCCTAAAGCTATGTGTGGGAAGCAACAGTAAATGATTTTCCAAAAGAAGGTTGATAGAACAATGAAAATATCATATATGTAGATACGATACAAATATTTATATGTTTTATATAAATATTCTTTTTATGCTTTATGTATAATTTATATATATTTATCTTTTAGATATTTAATATAGAGAGACAGTATATTTATTTAATTTTCTTACAGTTTCTTTCTACTAGCAAAGCTAGGGATCATGTTTCATGAACAAAGTCCATAAAAAGTTTAATATAAATAAATTCTCACTAGCATTTTTAAAAGGATAGACTATATGTAGTCTATTGCTAGTAGACACTGTAAGAAAATTAAACAAATACAAAGCAGAGACATAACAGAAAGTCCTTTGATTATGGGTACCCTTAATGTTTGAAGTTATGAGTTGTGAATGTGGCTCCATCTCTATAACACATCCCTTATTTCACAGAGACATAGTGAACTTTGCATCTTCCATACTTGGTGTTCAGGATGCATGACTGACGCATGCACACAGCAGATGCTTATAAATAGCTTGCTGAGTGCCGTCAGCTCACAATATTGCTCCATTGATAGAAAGGAGAGCTGAGTGCTCAACACAAACCATTTTTCCTAATTTTGCTCAACTCAATGAATTTACTGAATCAGATGAATAGAGCCTGGTTTGCACCTGAGTCCAGCTAGCCTGGTCCCTGGAAACAGTTCTCATAGCCCCTCCATTGACAGTGAATGGATTTTCATCTTTGGACAAGACATGTATTTTTGTTTTGAGTTAGTAGTACTATTCTAGAAAAACGTTTCTTGTCCTAACTGAATTTCTATTACTGTAAGCAACACCCTGGTCTTGTTACACATTTTAAAATAATTGTCTCCTGAAAGGGATTGTTCTCACCTGATGCTTTTGTTTAAAAAGAGCACTAGATTGTGCCTCATGCTCAAGAACTGTGATAATTTCGTTGATTTTCTCAAGTGAGTCATAAAAGGACGTCATCTGCTTTTCTAATTCCTCCAACGGAATCAACAGCTGCTGACACTCATAAAGGAGTGGGGAGTAACATTCTTTGACCTTTAAAAACACAAAGGCAAAAATTCCATGAAAGACCATTAAGTGCTACTAGCTCAGGGAATGTGCATAGCTCTGAGGAACATTTTCTTTAGTGACATGATCATTTGGTGCTTACAAATATCTAAAGACATTTCTTTAATGATATTTCCTCTATATTGTTAAATTTTGCTGTGAAAAATAATAGTGCTGTATCACTGAGACAAATAAATGGCTACTGAGTTTTCTCATGAAAATTCATCTAAATCGTCCATCTGGATAGCACTTTCTCATCTAAATGATTGTTTTTAGTGAGCCAGATGGTATCAAATTGTGCTTCATAAACCACACAACTCATTTTTATTTTGGCCTTGAAATCTGACCTAAGACAGTCACGAATTATTATCACATTATCTAGACCATCCTGTGTCTTCCAGCTTTATTTTCAAGGTTGCCTACTTGAACCCTTGACTTACGATGAATTTATAAACCTGTCAACTTATTCTTCCCAGACAGGCTTGTGCTTCCCTTCCTCCCACCAGCTCCATGCTTTGCTGCTCCCTGCTTATCAACATCCTACTCATCCCAAACATTAATGTCACACCAATTTTCTCATGAAGGTTCCCATGCTAGGGGAGGGCTCTGTAGTCTGAACTGATGCAGCCCTTACCTGTCACTTGTCTTTTAAAACATGTTTTAGTTTATAGACCTGCATTGTCTTAAAGACGAGGCCATAGGCTCTTGGAAATCAAGAGCTTCAGGTGTCTATCCTGTCATCCTCCAAGGACTTCCCATCTCTTCTCATACTTTCAGATAACCAAGGAAAGGAAATTAATCACTATTTGTTAGTAGGTCATTCTTTGTTTCTCATGTAGTATAAAGACAATAATGGTCTAACCATATGAGGCATATTCCAAAAATAATCCTTGAGGAAAGTGGCGTAGGGTAACATTGTGCTGTACTGTCAAACACATAATTATGTATGAAGAAATGTTTTTATGTTCTTGGATATACTGCCTGAAGTATACACTAATCAAAAGAAAGTTACCATCTTGCTGGTGCAACAAGATTCTGGTATAAATACCTTGAACAAAACCAAGAGAGTCTACTAATGTGTATACAAATCAGTGTGTTTTATTAATCCTTCCTGGGTGCAAGAGAAAACCTGTCAAGATGCTGCATCTGAAACAGTAAAAAAGCAAATGACAATTTCCTTTCTCAGGGGTTTCCCTGAACACCTAAACATGGCTCAGGCTAAGACGTGCAAGCCCAACTATGGCTCTGAAAGCTGCTGGGAAGTTATCCAATTGAAAATGTTGACTTCAAATTGTACTCATTGTTTAGCAGATTTTACTAGTATCCAATATTACCATTATTGTCCATTACCTTTAAATTATAAATAATTCTAACTTGAATGGTAAAAAAAAAAATGAACTGAACATAAACATTCTCATAGATATCAGATTGACAGATAAAATTTTCTCTTTTTTATGGTCACTATTTTTTCTATTTTAGCTTTTTGAACATATTCTTTTTCAGTTTTTCCCTACCACTGATTTCACAAAGGTTATTCTCTTCCTTTCTACCTTTCTTTCCTATTTAACAAGGTCTTCTACTTCATTTCTACTTTGTTTTCCCATTCTTCATTTTAAAATGTTTTCATTCATTTATTATAATCACGTCTCTCTTTTATCAGAAATTAATTACCTGATTTAGGTGGACTTCGCAAATAATACCATCTTCTAAAATTCAAATTTGGATAGACAACAAATTCGGATGGAACTTCCAAAGCTCTTAAGGAAAAATCACCCAATAGAATAGAAAATGCTTATGGCTAGTGCTTACATCCATCTAGTTCCCATACAGAAAATGTATAAATGTATATATTCTTTTTTTTTTTTTTTTTTGAGACAGAGTCTCACTCTGTTGCCCAGGCTGGAGTGTAATAGTGCGATCTTGGCTCACTGCAACCTCCACCTCCCCGGTTAAAGCAATTCTCCTGCCTCAGTCTTTTGCATAGCTGGGATTACAGGCACACACCACCATACCCAGCTAATTTTTGTATTTTGAGTAGACAAGGTTTCCCCATGTTGGTCAGTCTGGTCTCGAACTCCTGATCTTGTGATGCTTCCTCCTCAGCCTCCCAAAGTGCTGAGATTATAGGCGTGAGCCACCACATGCAGCCTAAATGTATATATTCTAAGCCTAAGGTGAACTCCATGAAATAGAAGGGCAGAATTTCCACTGCTTTGTGGCTATGCTTGCAGAAAATTGCACAGGTAAGATCGGAGTGGAAATATATCAAACAAATCTCAATAAATTCTCAGTTAAGTGTAGGGTCCCTCTTCTTTCTCCTCCTCATCCTTTTTCTCTTTATTTCTCCTTCCCTCTCTTCATTTTATCACATGTAACTGTTCCCCAAAAGTATCTACCTTTCTATTAAAATATAGCTATAACACTTCTAAATTTACAAAGGTAATATTTGGTATCAGCATCATAGTTTTGTTTTGTTTTTTTTAATTCATGAAAAAGTTACTAAATCAAGAATCCTAATTAGAAACAAAAACACCATTAACAAGTAAACAATTTGCCTATGGGGAGAGGGGGCAGCAAGCAAGCTGAAGGCACTGTTGGTGTCACACAGACTATTGAGCATTAAATTATTTTCGCACCTTGGTTAGCTGTTCTTTGAGCTTTGACATGGTTGCAAACATTTCTTTTCCTTCTTCTTGGGGGCTTTCTTTGGTAATCAGGTGTGCTGTCTTTGTAATTATCTTGTATTGGGCATCCATCACAGGCACCCTCTGCTCAATATCCTGCATGAATCATTGAAACAGCCAGATTCACATATAACACATTTCCTCTTAATTTCAGGATTCCATAGAAGGCAGAACAAAAATCAATATGCACTGTATAAAATCCAATACTTACACTAAACTTTTGATGGTTCCAGTTTTTGCTTCCCTTCACTACTAATAAATATTGGTAATATTATACAGTTAATAAAACTTTCCTTTAAAGTAACCAAAACATAAAGATTAGCTGAAATAATCTTTGTACTTTCCCAAAAAACCATTGTTAATGTAGTATGGAAATATAAAACATAATGTAAATGTATATTTAAAATGTCTGGCAATTCTGACTTTTAAAATTGGACGGGTTTTCTTTAAAGAAAAGAGAAAAGTAACTCACTGCCTTTATAAAAACAATATTAGGGTAATGACAATTTAAATTACTTAAAGTCTTTGCTCACAGTAAAAACCAAAGCGAACATCTCATCTATACATCATTAAGGTTTTTTTCCTGTGTTTATATCCATTTTTAAATTTTTACAAAGACAAAAGAATGATACTGTTCTTTCCTTTTCTCATGTAGCAATTTATTGCAAAATCTTCCCATGTCATTAAAAATTCTTCCACTACTTCATTTTTGAGAGCTGCACGGTATTCAAAATATGCAAACACCACAGTTCATGGAATAAATGCTTTATTATTGAATGTATTTAGGTGGAGGTGCTATCTTTAGATGTTTCCTCATTTTTCCTAATGCTTTGTTGTAGAAAAAAAAATCCAAATTGAAAATCAATTTGAAGTTACTTTATGTGATTAAGACAGGTCTTTTTTATGTTTGATATATTTTTTCTGACAGGTGCAAATTGGGACATACAGACATGTCAAGGTGATGCCCATGAGACATAGAAACAGCTTTTGCAATGATCTGAATAAACTTGCTGATCTTTACTGTCACAACAGAGAAGACTTTTCATTTTGATTCAGAAACTCCTCACCTCCAAGTCTTGAATTAGTAACTTGACATTCATAAAAGAGACTTCTAAGGGTTCAGAAAGTTTCTTATGGGATTCCGTTGCAAAAGCAGACAGGGTAACAACACAGTCTGTGTACTCCTTCTTCATTCTGTCCATCTCATCAGCTTGAGCATACTGTTAAGGAAAGGGAGGAGGGAACATTGTGAAAGCCATTTAGCTGCGACCACTGGAACTACAACTTTCATCTCTGGAATTATCTGGTAAGAAAGACTCTAATCCTTGATACTTATTTTAGATAAATTTGAAGTAAGTCCAATTAGTTTGAAAGAAAAAAAGAAACTAGCATAAAAATGAAGAACTATGATTTGAAACAAGAATCGTTCCATAGAAGTAGGCGCCATATGTCAACATAATCCTTAATCAAACTAACATATTTCTGTAACGTTCCACCATTATGCATGGAAAAGAATGAATAACCAATCCTAAAACACATACCGGTTTTAAACATATCTACGCTTTGCCTTATTAAACCCGTGCTATAAAAATATAATTCTCTCTAAACAGACTACTTATCACATTTATAACACACACACGTTTGAGGTGTATATAGATTTTAAAGACATACTTGCTTGACTTCCATAAACAACTCCCTCCACCGCCCATTTAGCAATAGTAATTGCTGCTTCAGGTCACGGGAAACCATCTCATTACAGGTTTCAATGAGAAAATTGCCAGCATCGTTCATGGCAGTATGCTGCTGAATCCAATGAGGTAAATTTCGAAAAAAATCCTAAACAATAAAGAATGCACAATATCATAAACCATAAACTGCATATCAATGACTGATGTGAAAGTGACTAAATTAGGAAAAATATCTTTGCTTTAACATTCATGTGAATTTTAAGATAAACCATAAATCTCTTTAAAAATGCACATTTTTAAAGTTTTAAAATGTGAAGTTTTAAAAGTTAAAAGTTTTAAAATGTGAACTAGAGATACTGAGTGTTTTTTTTATAAGAACATTTATGCCATATCATTTGTTGAAGACAAAACAAAACATGATGACCACTTTCTGTTATTTTTATTTTACAGATTAAAAAGCTGAATTTCTGTCAATGTAAGAGATCTATGCATAACCTTCAGGCTAGTAAATACCAGTGCCAGAGTCATAAAAAAGGCATAATTTATAAGGGAATTATATAGCTTCCTTTTTCATTGTATAAATGTATACGAGTGCAATTTTGTACATGAATAGATTGTGTGGTGGTAAAGTTGGGGCTTTTATTCCCTTTTAAAGAAAGAATAGCTTTCTCTAATAATTTCTAAACAAATTTTTGACCTGTTACTTTTGATTTTTAAATTTCAATGTAGTACATTAAGATAATTAGCAATCATGGAGATAAACCATCGAAGAAAAAAATTAAATTAAGTATCTGGGTCGAGAGCACTTAATACAACAACACACTTTCTTGTTTGTTTAAGGATTCACTCTTGGCAATGAAACAGTTTCCAACTCATTTTAAATAAAGTGCATGTGTGCACGTGCACACACACAACAGATACCACAGTGAAAAACAAGGATACCAAAGATAATTCAAAATCCATTTCATAAGCCATGTGTGGGAGGACTTCCTACATGTATAAATAGATAAGAACACTTCTGTTTCTGGTGGTTATATTCCTTTGGATCAAATTAACACATATGACATCTACTAGGGCACAGCCAGTCTAATTGGAAAAGCCAAAATCTGTATGGGTACATAGTTATTGCCTCCCTCAGCTACGTGAGCATATTTAATCTATATGAAATGTCAAATGGTAAAACATTTAAAAGTGATACATCTACTTGTACAAACAATAATAGATGAACCAATCTTGGATGGCATGTGGTAATTCTAGTGTGTGCATTTTTAGTATCACTTACATATAAATTGATTTTCCACCTAAAAATGCCAGGCTTCCATTTGGAAGTATATAAGCGGAAATCGGTCCATTTCATGTGATATTTAAATAAGTGACATTAACGTAAAATAGTAGCTCTCGCAGGTACACACACATACATACTTATAACTGGCCACAAAGAAATCATTCCTACTTAGAATGAGACCCTTGCTTGAGGGTTAGTAGAATCCAAAACAGAATATCTAAAGAGGTACAAATGTCATGGTCCAGCTGTTCAGCTGGTGGATGCTCTCACATAGATTCAGTACTATGTGTTTCACGCTATGTGAAGACAAACCAAAGTTGTTTTCATCCTCTCTTTAATCAGGAAATCCATGAAGACTGGGGTCCTAGACACTCCCCTTCACAGACAGACTTCAGTGTAATATAGTGCCCTCTCCTCTGCTGCCCACTGGATTTACTCAACCCTTCATCAGCTTCTATAAGCAGTGTATTTATTGGTCTATTACTAACCTGAAAGTGCAACTTTTCAGGCAAAGTCAGGATTCTTGAGTCACACCTGCAAATATATGATACTCCCTAGTGAGCTCTGCTGTAAAAGTCTCTCGTGCTTGTGTACATCAAAAGCCTTTTCTTTTTGCACAAACCAGTCTTACCTTTTTGGCATTTTCTGATTGATTGAGCATTTTTTCAGCATCCTCTAGCCAGGCTTGCAGACTAGCCACTGTATTGCCATAGCGATCCCAGTTAGAGATCACTTCTTCCAGCATGCTCCTCACACTCCTAACTTCTACTGAGAGATTTCGCCACTGAGCAGTGGTTTCATTCATGAATTTCATTACATTCTCAGCTTCCTCCACTGAAACAGAAAAAAAACATTTATAACCCTTATTTTATATTTTAAATCCTCCATATCGTTTTTTCTGTGGTCTTATACATTGGTTTGCAATATTATCCATCACAAATGCCAGAGTTCATTTCCAACAAATATAACAGACATAATTACACATGGAAAACAAATGTATTTTACAAATTACATCTTTACACTAATTAATTTCTCATTTACTTGATTGTTACTCAAGTTATTCTATGCTTTTGACTTTAATCTTAGAATTGAAGGTAGCTTGAAAAATTGCAATTTAGAAAACGATTGCTTATTTTATTCTCTCTTAGAAGAACACGCACGCACGCACGCGCACACACACACACACACACACAGAGGGAGAGAGAAAAAGAGAGAGAAAAAGTATGATTATGCAGGTCAGGCACTGTACAAAGCACAAGGAACTGAAGCCAGTATGTGTTCTCTTGGCCAATGGCAAGATGACACAAAAATTCCATGGAGAGAAAGAATGATCTGATCAGATAGAAATCTGAAAGGCTCTAAATTCTACTGTAGTCTACATTGCAACAAATTCTGTAGCATGTTTTACCTGAACCATCTGCTTTGATATACATTTCGGCTGTCTGTTTCAAGATCTGGTATGTCACTTCATATTGTTCAAAGAACTTGCTATTTTCTATAAAAGACTAGAAAAGGAGGAATGGTTAGAAGATAGCAAACATTAGGCTCATGTAAAATTCCAAAGTCAATTTTCTTCAGTATAGCTATAAGTATAGTTTACCCAAATTTGCTAATCTCTCTCTTTTTGAAAATATAAACTTAATTCACTGCCACAAATTACCTAAGATCATTCTGAACACATAAATTGATTCCATGCTTTTGATTCTATCCAGTACAAGATTAAGAAAATATTCTATTTCTTCACCAATCAAGGGTTTGCTTTTTGAAGAGACAGAAATTTCTCTAGAGAACTTGGGTCTAACATTTAGAAAGCACTAAATTTAGAAGAACATTTTAAAGTGTCCCACTGTGTTTCAGCTGTGGAATTCTGTTGCTCTTTGAACATTAATCCTGGCGAATGACTGCTCTGAGGAGCTCCAGATTATAAATAAATGACACAGCGCACAAATACTCCCCTTAAAATAAAAAGTAAGTAGGCTGGGAGTGGTGGCTCATGCCTCTAAACCCAGCACTTCAGGAGGCCGAGGCCAGATCACCTGAGGTCAGAAATTCAAGACCAGCCTGGCCAACATGATGAAACCCCATATCTACTAAAAATACAAAAATTAGCCAGATATGGTGGCATGTGCCTGTAGTTCCAGCTACTCAGGAGGCTAAGGCAGGAGAGTTGCTTGAACCCGGGAGCTGGAGGTTGCAGTGAGCCAAGATCTTGCCACTGCACTCTAGCCTGGGTGACAAAGTGAGACTCCATCCAATAATAATAATAACAAATAAACTAAAAGTAAGTAGAAAAATTTTAAGTAATTGCATACTCTATTCATGTTATCAATGGCCTATTACAGAAAAATTACAGTAAGACATGTCTATAAATCTGTAATTCATACATGTAATAGAGTCACTACTGGCAAATGGATATTATAAAATTGAGAACACACAAAAAAGTCTTTAGGTAAATTTTATTATTGTTCACTTCAAGAAATATAAAATAATGCCCGTTTCAAAGACCATTCTCACTTCTCTAAAGTAGAGAACTGATGCAATTATAGCTAACAACATATCACCAAAGGCTCTTTAATTTCTTGTTATATTATAATGAGTTCCTGTGATTTGAATCTATTAAAATACTTGATAAATGTCATTGTCATAAATACAAAATTAGCCTTCAAAAACGGGCTGATTTTTTGTATAGCACGCTGATGAATGCTTAATATGGAGTTGCAAGACACTTGTGTGCAGAGGAAACATTATTATTCATAAAGCAATTTCATAGAAATCTCTAGATTGTTTTTACTGATAAATGTTTATCATATCTTGAGATAACATTTAAAAAATTGTATCTATAACAAATTTTATATCATTTTATGTTTATAAAGCATTTACTTATAAATTAACTATTCTTCAGGGATAAAGTGAATAGAGAAAGTTGTGAGCTGGAATAAGAGGCTCCATGATGAATACAACATTCAATAACTTTCATTGGCTTTATTTTATTTGTTTGAGAATAAAGTAAGACAATAATATTCTGATTAATTTACTATTTATTCTTACATCTTTTTATTACAACTCAGTTGGGAAAAGAATAATTTACAATTTTGAGTAACCTAACTAAACAACCAAATCATTATTTGATCAAAAATATACCTAATGTTCAAGATACTGTGTAAGAAATTGAAGAAATAATTATATTCGGCAAAGTTTAAAAAACAGTCTGCATTTAATATTGATGCAAATTTCAAGAAGCCAATAGCAAAATAATTGTCCTAAGTGTCAAAGAATGGGAACTAGTTGCTTGTGGCGCACAGGAATACTTAAATATGCTTTTGCTAGAATAGCTTACAAAATAATTAAAAATAAACAAGTGAGAAAAGCTTATTTCCAATTTAATTTTTGGTCCAAGAGGAAGGGAAGAAGGAAGAATGTCTTCAGAAAGAATGTTTTATAAATGCTGTAGAAACTCGTTAATGTATTTTTGAACTTTGCTATTAGCAAGACTGGATGATTAATTTTCAAAGAAAGATTCCTATTTTTAATTTAAATTTTTATTGGTCCATCTAACTTCGTCCTTTTTTTTCTGAATATGGAATAAATGCATTTAGCAATATGGATTATTTTGTCTATTGAATCACTTTAGCAGAACTGCTAAATCTCCATTTTAATGTAAGCGATTTAGACACACCTCTCAGAAAAATGCAAAAGTAAATACAAATGCATGTTTAAAATAATAATATCAGGATTCATTTATTTCTTTCAAAATAAGGTTGAAATTTGGATCCCAAGTTCAACAAATAAGCCATTTTAGTCAGGGAACTTTTAAAGTTGATGGTATTTCAAGAAAAGTAAGTGGCATACTTATTTTTGGTATTTAATTTTAGTGTTAGTGACTGCATTTCTACTTTCACAAGGTGGGCATAAATATAATAAATATGAAACTCATCAGTTTAACTTGAATGAAACTACACCAGATAATTTCAGATAATTAAAATGAATATTAAGGAGTGGTTTTTATCAAGACTATTTACATTAAGATATAATTATGAATAAAATGAATATTCACATTATGTTGCATTCACACAGTCCATGGTTTCAAGAGCTCTTTTTTTTCTTTCATGTGAAAGATTGGAATATTAGCCTCTTTTTTTCATAGTGCATTGTGAGCATATGTTTTGGTCTTTGGCAACAATTTTGACAGCAAGAACTAAACGAATTATTGTTTGATTTGCATTACAGCATGTAATCACTTACCAATGGCCGTGCCCTAAATTAATGACAACAAGTATTTGTGAAGTATTATCCAAGAATTCTTTAAGCATTCAGTGGCTGCATATCTGAGCTAGGAAGCACATTCTCTTTCTCTAACACCTAAAAAAAAGTATTCTTTCTTTTTTGCAGGATGAATAAGTCTGATTTGAGAATTACAACTAAGAAAAAGATAATTATGGAAACTGTATGGCCCGAATATTACAATTTGGTTATTACATGATATAGCAGCATGTGGTTTATTACAATACTTTTTTTTTTTTTTTTGAAACAGGGTCTTACTCTGTAGCTCAGGCTGAAGTGCAGTAACAGGATCATAGCTCACTGCAGCCATGAACTCCAGGGCTCAAGTTATCCTCCTGCCTCAGTCTCCTGAGTGGTTGGGACTACAGGTGCACACCGTGACGCCAGCCTAAATTTTCAATTTTTTTTTTGTAGAGACAGGGTCCCACTCTGTTTCCTGAGCTGGTCTCAAACTCCTGGCCTCAAGTGCCTCTTCCATCTAAGCCTCCCAAAATGCAAGGATTACAGATGTTTGTGAGCTGCGGCTCCCAGCCCTTTTTTGGTGGGGGCATGGGGGTTGGAAACCAAGGAAAGAATTGCATTTACAAAACTGACTTTTGTTAATTTGTGATTTTATTTGAAAGTCTTCAGGCTCTTTGAAATTGCCTGTTCCAAAATGAATGATTTTTCATAACATTAGGGATAAGAAACGCTCTATGAGGTGTTAACATAGAAGGAAAAAAGTATATGTCAGTCTTTCTTCCCTAGAAAGATCCCTACTATTTTATTATTATTATTGTTAATTATTATTATCATAATCATCATTATTAAAAATCTGGGAAAGACTAAGTCTTCTAGAAATTAAGTTATTCACAGATACATGGGTACTCAGTAGCTAAACCATGACTAACCACATTTGTAGTGACTGGTATCTGCACTTTATCAGCTTCTCCTCTCCCACAACCATGCTGCCTCATACACAAATAACAGCAACTCACAGGCTTTGACAGTACACTTACAGGTATGTAAGTGTAAGATATTGTCAAATATGAACCAATATTAAATAGAACTAATATTTATGTGAATTACATTCTTTACACCATGAAGACATAAGATATCATATCTAGGATTTGGCGTTTTATGTTAAAAATATTTTTTTCACAATTTTTTTAGATCATGATATTCAGCACTGAAGCTCAAGGGTTTTTGATTTGGAAAGATATGAATTCAATTTCTGATTCCACACTTTACCACCTGGAGCATGTGCCACCAGGAGTATGTGACTTGAGCCTATGAAGCCTCAGTGGTTTTGCACTGGCTCCTTGGTATCCAAAACAATGTGAATCCCCCAGCCTGTAGGGCCATCACTGAGATAAAAGATGATGCATATAAAACACCTGGCACGTGGGAAATGTTCCATAATCCATGGTTATCAAAACTATTAAGCAAAAATACCTTAAAAACCTTTAGGGAAAAGAAATATGAGTGATAGGTAGGCATTCTTCAGTAGCAGATGAGACTATTAGGAAATGTTCATTAAAGCATGCTGTGTATTTTGGATAATCAGCAATTTAATGAATAGTTGTGAAAGTTAAAAAGCAGTTTGGAAGTAGCAGCTGAGTGAACTTGTCTTTAACTTTATGAAGTAGGCAGAGAGCACTAATGTTTTTATCATTAATAATAATTCTCTATTCACGCATCATTTGAGAAAATCAAAGAGAATTATTAACATCATTGTGTTGGAACATTCACCTGGTGGAATGGTCTTATTAGCTGTTTAAATCTGACTGATTCGCTGTTCTGAAATAGCCAGAACAAAGACTGTATCTGGTATAATTAACTACTGGGCTCAGAGGGTATCATTTGGCATGTGCAAATCTGAAAATATACATGCATATTTGTATTTTATATTTGAAGAACTAATGTAATTGCTTGAATCTAAAATTCTAGGTTTTTCATAACTTGCCAAAATAACTAGAAATGAATAAAGGAACATAACAGATTTTGCATTTTGGGACAAACGTTTCCTAGACAATTTTAGTATAGGGAAAGATTTTACTGTAAAGCAGTTAAATCATTTTTTTTTTTCTCAACTACATGTTGTTCACTCATCACAGAAAATGAAACTGAAATGTAACAAGACAGATTCTGGTTCTAAGATGCCTCAGTGAGAAAATGGTTTCAATAAGTATTTCAAGCAGAACATGGTATAGAGTCACTATGACTAATCAAGTTATAAATGGGCTTATATTTTAAAAGTTCATTGATTTATCATAGAATTTGTATTTAAACATAAATGAAACAGTACAAGACTAAAATATCTATTAATATTAATTCTGTGAGCAAATTTGCATTGAAAATTAATTTGTAGGAGGGGCATGTTTAATTAAGAAATAACCTGTCTTTAGCAACTATAATGCATTAAAACTGCTAGTTACAGAGCAGCCAAATTCTTTCAATCATTGATGCAGGTCTATGATTCTGGTAGACAGAGAATTATCTATATTGATAGCCGAAAATATGAGATAATCTTTAAAAATTAAGTTGATACAGAGATTTATTGACAAAATTTTACTTTTCTTGGGTGCACACAAGGGTCAATGAAGCTCAGGGAATGACAATAAAAAAGACACCGTGGACACACTCTAAAAAAATAGTTCCTATTTGGACACTTGAGAATTGTTCTAAACTAGTCAAAACTGAATTTTAAAAAAACATGAAGGTAATCTTTAAGTATTTTAATTTAGTTTAAATGGTGACCTCCAATAAAAAATGTGGGTATGCAATACAAAAACTTTTTTAAAAAATCAATAAAGCCAGTCAGGATGGTCCCATGTGATTAATGCAGCAAAGCCTTTCTAAACTAGGGGATTTTAAATAATCAAATTCCAAAGAAATAGGTTTAGATTTCAGATAATTCTGAAAAGCTCATAAACTTATATCTAACCCATTTAACACACAGTTATCTTTATGTTTAAATTAAAGATTAAAACAACAGCGTCAAAGTAACTGAACAGTGTTGCTAAATCCATGGCTCATCGGAATTCTCTGCCAAAGCACCGGGGACTTACCACGTAGTTCTGTAGAAGCTGCTCCACTGACTCTCTCCTCCCATACTTAATGATCCAGGACTTCAGCTTTGACTCTGCAAGAACCAGCAGTGAGAGCAGACGGTACTTTAATTCTAGAAATTCCATTTTCATTAGGTGTAGCTCTGATGTGGAGGAAACAAAATGAAACCTAGAAATAAAACAGGGAGAATTTATAGAATGTAACTAATAGTAACAGAACCGATGCTTACTTAACCTGTTACATGTCAGCCTTAAATAGAATGTGGCCACAAGCTCTTCTAACTCTGGCTGATCATTTTCTGGAGATCTCCTTTCTTTTCTAGCTCTGGATTTAAAAGCAAAACATGAATGATTTAAGTCTTTGATTTGGTTTTTTCCCCTGCCAACACATCTCTCGTCTGTTTCTTTTATAAGCTGTTTTTGCAATATTACATAATGTTCCTTACAGTACTGAACAAAAATACAGCCTATGAAGAAACCATTTCTGTGATTTCCAGGCTGCAGATAAATTCAGGTTCAGTCTTTTCAGTTAATAATATATTAGAATGTTGGCATTCTCAGCATACGTTATGGAAGCCCACTTTCTATTTACCAAAGGTAAGCTTCTCTGTTAAAAATAAAATCATGAAAAAAAAAAAGTAAAAAGCATCCACCTGGCATTTTAAAAACAGACCTCATTTAAGTACATTCTCTTACCTCTCGGCCATGTCCTCTAATTGATCAGGTGGCACTGGAATCCCGTTAACAGACCTAGTCCGGTAGATTTCATGGAATGCTCTTTTGTGGGCATCTGTGTTTTGAAGCAGATCCTAAGATACAGTTTTAAAAAAATAAAAAATGAAAAACATGTTTCACAGAGGACTAAGGAGCATAAATTCCAGCCTTCACCGATGAGTCAATGTATTCAACAATTTGATCCTGCTGCCACATTCAGAGGCAGCTTACCTTGAACAGGAGCTCTTACCTTGAACAGGAAGTGGGTGCTTGTACTTAAAACACTATGCTGGAACTGCATCTAATAATTATGCATCTTTTAAACACACATGACACTTGCACAGCAATGCATTCAGACGTTTTAAAGGCACATGAGCCAAAGGAAAATGTAATTACTGCTATGAAATGATTTTGGTATTTATTTTTTGCCTTTCTTGATTTTGGATATGCTGGTTTTTAAAGGCTTAAAACCAAGCATGAGAAATTGAAACCTTTGACGGCAAAAGGCATTAGGCTTTCTACTGTTATTTTATTTTGAATGCATGCAGACTATTATAAATTGATATTTTCTTGCTATCTAAAGTCAATCATAATACAATATATTTTGAAATGCCCTTTTGGTTAGAAAATTTCAAACAAATGCAGGAAATGCCCCATAGGTAACACAGTGGGAAAATTAAATGTGATGTTAATAAATATTCATTATAGACTGTATAGAACTCCACAGGTTTGCTTCATTTATTTAGGTTAATTTGAATCTTCTTTGATGTATTTGTTGTGTTTTTCATCATTCACAAACTAATTTCTAAAAAGATGTACATGTATTTTATACTCCCTCACCAATTTCTCATATAGAAGCAAGGAAAGAGTTAGGTGAAAGGAGATTCATGCCTTAATTTCTAGAGTTTAGTTTGTGTCCCAGTGGCAGAATAAATACAGTACTTAAAAATGTGTCACTCACTGAAAAAGTGGGACACATTAGCCCATGAAAATAATACATTAAAATTAATATTTTTATCTCATACCAAAATTTAGTGAATTAATTGGAGAAATTAGTGCAAAACCAGCCTAAAATCAAAAGAGACACACTTGAGGGAGGGACAAGTGAAGACTTTTATTATACATTAAAACATTAGGGTTTGTATGTGCTTGTCTACGTATGACATTTCAACATGGTAGAAAAACCTTAGGGCCAAACTATTTCTATTCTCATATATTTCACTACTATCACATTTTGACCTGCTCTGACTGTGTAGGTAAGTGCAAAGATATTCATAAGTCATGTGTGCCTCTAGGAAGGGTACTGTGTGAAGCCAAGAGCTCATCACAAGAGAACAGAGATCAAATGAGTGATTTTTACAGCAGCTGTTGATGCTGAGTATTCTAGCCATTCTCTACCTCCTTTATTACATGCAGACACATTTCTGTAGCTTATGGTTTTGGCTGAAACTTTCCTAAGTGACTTCAGAGCACACTTGGAGCTCTTGCCCCAGCTAGCTCTGATTTGTGACTGTTTTGAAATGAAAAAGTCTGTACAAGCTATCCAAACAAACAGAAACATTTTCATCCATATAATAAAAGAACATCTTCAGTTGGCATGACGTCACTGATTCCTCTGAAAGGTCTTCTCAGTATAAAGCAGCTAGATGCTGGGCAAAATATATGATTTTAATTCACCTTGCTGGGTTCATAGGAAGTGAACTATTTTAGGTTCCCCATTCTCAGTAAAACATGACCCCAAAACTAGATCACAGACGTAGGCAAAAAACAAATAGAAAAATCCAGATTGTCCTGGACAAATATCTACACCATTGCTGAGAGAGACTGAGTCTTAGAATATAAACAGGGTAAGGACACTGAAACAAGATCTCTTCCATTTAGTCAGAACCCTCAATGAAGGCTAACATGGCCAGGTTATTAGCAAATGCAAATACAATAAGAGGAAAGCAGAGATCACCAACCACAGGAAACAAGCCACCATGAGTGAGAACCAGCAGAAATAACAAATTTATCATGCTAGAAAAATGTCAGGAATTTAATATTTGACAACAATATGTAAGATAAAAAGGAGAGTGTTCTGGTTAAAGTATTCCCCATTTCTTATATTGATTAAGAGGGGGTTAAGATATTGATTAACTTTCAATTTTTTTAAGTATCTAACAAAATTCAAGGGCAATCATACTGTACAAATAGAGTTTATAACTTTCATGCCAGTATAATAAATAAAACCATGGAATAAGAAAAATGAGCAAGGAAACAAAAAGCAAAACGTTCTTAATTAACTTATAAATAGCAAGAAAGTAGAAAAGAAGAAAAAGTAGAGCAAATAGAAAGCAGACTTAGATGCTAGAAACAAATTCAAGAACATCAATAATAATAAATAAATGTGAATAATGTAGAAATTTACTAGTTACAAGACAGAGATTTTCAGACTGGAAAAACAAACAAAATAGAATTATCTGCTTTTTACAAAAGATACACCTAATCATTAAGAAAATGGATAGGTTAAAATTAATAAAATGGAACACATGTCAGGCAAATACTAAGAGAAATCTGATATAAATGTATTAATACCAGACAAAATGGATTTCAGAACAGAAGCATTATAAGTACAGACACTCCTTGACTCATGACAGGGTTATGTCCCAATAAACTCATTGTAAGTTGAAAATATTGTAAGTCAAAAATGTATTTAACACACCTAAACCAACCAAACATTATAGCTTTGCTTCCTCTATATTAAATGTAATTAGAACACTCACACTCACATTAGCCTACAATTTGGCAAAATCATCTAACACAAAGCCTATTTTATAATAAAGTGTTGACTATGTCACATAAGAGTATCATATCACATGTGATTGCTGAATGTATATTACTTTTGCACCATTGTAATGTGAAAATTGTAAGCTGAATCACTAGAAGTTGGAAACCATCTATAATTAATTACATAAAAATTAAACTTTCAATTTACTGGAGGATGATATATTACTCCTGAACTTGAACATGCCCATTAAACTCTGAACTACATAGAGCAAAAACTGATAGAACTGTAAGGAGAACCTGAAACATCAGCATCACTGTGGGACTTATCAACATGCCTCTCTAAATGAGACAGAGCAACGGAAGAAGCGTTATAGCAGGTTGTGATGCAAAGTAGGGAAAGGGCTGCAGGAATGGCTTTTGTAAGAACTTTTGGTGTTTCTGTAGCGGAAGCCCGCTGGAAATTTTGAGCAGATTGGTGAAATTATTTCAGCTACATTTTAAGGATCACTGTGGTGATCCTTCTGAAAATACCCTATCCTCCATACATTTGCTTCCCATTGCTTCTAAGACAACACTGTAGCTGGATTTCCTCCAACCTCACTGGTTGCTCCTTCTCAGACTTTTACTGGTTCTTCTACTATTCAATCTCTTAATGCTGGATTCCCTCCAGATCAGTCCTTGGTCTTTTTCTCTCCTCTGTATATACTTCTTTATCTAATTTCTCCAGTCTCGGACCTTTAAACGACCCTCCATATGCCAATGACTCTGCATTTTTATCTCCAGACTGTACTTGTCTCTTGACCTCTCTTACCTATTGCCTACTCCACGTGTCCTCTTGGATGAGAAACAGACTCAACATGCCCCAGACTGAATTCCTGATCTGTCCTCCAAAACACGCTTCATTGTCTCCTATTCTTAATAGATAGAAACTCTTTTTTTCAGTAACACAGCCCCAAAATCATAACGTCATTTGTGACTCTTCTTCTTTCATAGAATGTATCTAATGCTGAAAATTGTTCTGCCCTCAAAATGTATCTGGAATCTGTCCATTTCTCACCATCTCTACAGCTGCTTCCCTGGTTCAAGGCACTCAAACTGGACTATTGAAATGGCACCCTGGCTTCCACTCTCCATTCGTAACCCACTGTATTCTCATACAGCAGCCATATCATGAAAATACTGTCATTCCTTTGTGAAAAAAAATGGGACTGGGTGCTGTGATTCATGTGTATAATTCTAGCCCTTTAGGAGGGCAGGCAGATCGGTTGAGCCCAGGAGTTTGAGACCAGCCTGGGCAACATGGTAAAACTCTCTCTCCAAAAAATAAAAAATTAGCCCGGTGTGGTGGCCCATGCCTGTAATTCTACCTACTCTGCTCGGGAGGCTAAGGTGGGAGGATCACTGGATCATGGGAGGCAGAGGTTGAAGTGAGCCATGATCACACCACTACACTCCTGCCTGGGCAACAGAGCAAGACCCTTTCTCAAAAAGAAAAGAAAAGAAAAGAGAAAAGAAAATGGATGAAAAAAGGTTAGAACATTATAGACCAAATCAACAATGCCAAAGTGTGATTAAGGAAAAGCGAGGAGGTACAAAGAAACAATATTGGGGAAATATATATAGGCACAGAAAACAATATACAGAATACATAAAACAATATTTTGAACAATTTTATGCCAATAATTCTGAAGACTTAGTCAAATGCACATAGTTTTACAAAGTATGCATTATCAAAATTGACCCAACTGCAATCTTGAGAGCCTGAGTATGGGGAGACAACAGTGAAAGAAAACAATTCCCACCCTTATGGAGTTGACATTATAGTGCAGAAAATCAAGCAAAAGATAAGATACATTATTCAAATAGGTAACAGTTGAGATGATGATAAAACCTAAAGAGAAACATCAAACAACAAAGAGGAAGGGGAAGTTTGGGGAAGCTGCAATTTCAAAAGAGGAGGCAAGAAAAGGGTTGACTGAGGGGACATTTTAGTAAAGGCCTTAAAGAGATGAAGAAGACCGTAATGAGAGTATCTGTAAGAGGATGTTTCAGACTGAGGAATGAGAACATTCCAGAAAAATGGCAAGGGTAAAGAACTCAAGGTAGGGAATGTGCTTGTCTGTTTGATGTCATATTTTCAATGACGTTTCACTGACTACCCTATTTAAAATTGCAATAACACCTGATACCCCCTGTCCTTTTACTTTCTAAGCTAAATTTACCTTTTTTTTTTTTTTTTTTTTCGAGACAGAATTGCACTCTTGTTGTCCAGGCTGATGTGCAATGGTGCAATCTTGGCTCAACACAACCTCCACCTCCTGGGTTCAAG